CTGTGTGCCAGGACTCGGGCCACGAGTCAGCGCACCATTTGGAGCCCAGGACGGCCCCAAAACCGGCTGAGCCAGCCGCATCTGTAAACAGATGTAGGTCCGCATTAGAAACCTCCGGGGCCTGCCAGTACGACCTCCCATTATATGAGGCCAAAAAGGAATCCCAGACAGCCAAATCAGCCCGCAAGGGGCGCGTTAGCCGGATAAAGTGCTGCGGGCGAACGACCCCAGATGTCGCCGCCGCCAAGCGCCTGTTAAAGATACGTCCCATGGGCAAAATCCTGCAAGCGAAATTGAATTTTCCTAGCAGAGATTGCAGGCCACGCAGCTGGATTTTCCGCCACCCTAGAGCCTGCGAAACCGCCAGGCGCAGGTCCAGGACCTTGTCCTGGGGTAACCGACATTCCCCGGCTACCGAATCGATTTCAATGCCCAGGAAACTAAGGCACGTGACCGGACCCACCGTCTTTTCATGAGCCAACGGAACACCAAAATGCTGAAACACCTCCCCGAGAACCCGCAACAAGAGGGCACAGACGTGCGACTCCGCCGGCCCTACGCACAAGAAGTCATCTAGGTAATGCAGAAGGGAAGAGACCCCCGCTTCCCTCCGCACCACCCAGTCTAAAAAAGTGCTAAAGCACTCAAAATAGAAACATGACAGAGAGCAACCCATAGGTAGGCACATATCCACGAAGAACTGGCCCTCAAAAGCACAGCCCAGTAAATGATGGCACTCTGGATGCACTGGAAGCAACCGAAAAGCAGATTCCACGTCCGCCTTCGCTAGCAGCGCCCCGGGGCCAGCAGCCCTCACCATGCGAACTGCAGCATCGAAAGAGGCGTAGGAAACCCTGCAAAGCTCCGTCGAGATGTCATTCACCGAACCCCCCCGGGGGTAAGACAAATGGTGAATTAGTCGAAACTTACCGGGTTCCTTCTTAGGCACCACGCCCAAAGGAGAAACCCGCAAGTTAGGCATGGGTGGGATGGAAAACGGGCCCAAGGAGACCTCCTTCCCCAGTTTTTCCCGAACCACATGAGGAAATTCCCGCACGGACCTGAGGTTCCGAACAGAGTGCTGTGGAGGGCGCTCCGAAAAGGGGATCCAGAAACCCTGCTCAAACCCTTCCACTAGGATCCGTGCTGCCGCCCGGTTCCTATAAAGGTCGAGCCACGGGCGCATCGCGTTTACGAGCACCGGTGTCGTCGCCCTTAGCCCCCATGTCCCCTTTTTCGCCCGTTTTCCCACGCTTGAAACAGCGAGAGGCGGGATGAGCCCCGCTGCAGCTGGAGCACTCGTGCTTAAACCGGCACGAGGACCCCCACTTTCAGTGACTGTCGTTGAACTTCCAACAACAGCCTGTCCTTTGATTGGGGGCCGATGGGGCAAAGGAGCCCCTACCGGCCCCCCCAAGAAAGGACGAAACTGCGCCCTGCTGAGGAGCTGGACGGGTCATAATTGCGAGCCAGAGACCAATGTCCATCTAGTCCCAAGACAACGAAGGACGCACCGCCAGCCGCTGCCGGAACTGCTCGTCGTACCTCCACCACCCCAGCCCCCCATAGGTTCGACAGGCGTTCCAGATCGTGTCCTGATAACAGAACAACGCGGAACACTTCTGGGGAGCTTTCTCCCCCACCACGCTGGCTAGGATGGAGAATGCCCGAATCCAATTCCCAAACGTTTTGGGAATTTTCCGATAGCGGTATTTCTCCTTGTCTTTTTCAGACTCCTTACTGTCTTTCTCTGTCACGGGAGGAGCTTCCACCAGCGGCAGGAGAGAAAATATCTCGACGAACTCACCCTTCCAAATTTTTTCCCTTGTTTCCTGCTTTAAGTGCAGACCCAGAGGGCCAGACCAGCACATATAGGCTGCGCCACGCGCCACGTCTGCCACGCCCGCCTCAGGGGGAGCGTCACCCACGGGCGCACAAACATCAGCCTCCGTGGGTCCCAGGGGCAACGAACCACTACCCACTACTGAAAGGGGCCTGGGAGGAGGGGGAATCGGAACTGCGGGGGGAAACTGCGCGGGGGACCAAACAGATCGCAGCTGCCTATCTACAGAGGTGTCCCCTTTTCCCGCCGCCCCCTGTTCCCATAGATCTAACAAACCTCGGAGACCTGAAAGAAACCCCCCCAACCCGAGACCCGAAGCGGCAATAGAGGAGGGAACATTGTACTCACCGGCAGTAGCGTGGCGATCCAAACCCTGCGCTGCATTCATGGAAGACTGAGGCACTGAAAATTGGGTTCCAGCATCCAGAGAAGAGACTAGCTGTGTTCCAGGCGCCACCTGCTGGCCGGATCCACGAACTGCAGCAGTATCCTGAGGAGAGAGCAGCGAAGAGGACGTGAGCCCATGCCCCAGAGGAGATGGCCGAGGTAAGTGACCTGCAGGGGGGGGAGGGGGCCCAGGCAAGGTAAGAGGGGGGGTGGAGAACAGAGGGGGCCCAGATAGAGTAGGGTAGCCAACAGGGGAGAGAGAGACAGACACAGGGGGGGGCAGGGAAGGAGGAAGAAGGGGGGGGGACCCACAGAAGAGAGAGGGGGAGGGAGGGGGGAAGAGGAGGCCAGAGAAACGTGAGGGGGACCCGGGGGCCCTCTCAGTGGGAAGTTGGGCCCCCCAGGGGACCCCCTCGCGGAACACACATGGGAGGGGGAGGGGACAGGAGAGGGAGAATACCGGGAGCCTTCCTCACTGTCAGAGGAGGCTCCTGACATACAAGGGGACCCCCCACGCACCCCCAGCGGCGGTACCACGGTACCCCGCGTGCCCCCACTCACCACCGGGGCCCCAGCGGCAGCCCCACGCCCCCGCCGGCCGCGGGGGGATCTGGAAAGTTGCCGGGCGGTCGCCCGCCGCCCGGATGCAGCTGCAGGCCTCCCACCGCCCCCGGACCGCGTCCCCATGCTGGCGGCCGGGGCGGGAGGCAGGGGAACCGCACCAGGCCTCCGGGCCGCAGGGCGCGCGGCAGATGAAGGCCTCACCTCCCGGCCACTGGACCCAGGCCGCGTGTCCGGAGCCCCAGACACGCGGTCCCGGCGATGCCTCGGGCCCGGGCTCCTGCTCCTCAACCGGGCCCGAGGGGTATTATCAGGAGAGAGCCTGGCAGGCGGACGGGAACGCCTGCCAGTGCTGGTGCGGCCCCCAGGGGCAGGGGCCGCATGGGAGGCAGCAGGGGAGACCGCAGGGGGTGCTCCAGGGGAGGGTAGGCCACGGGGGGTGCCCACACCGGCAGCCATACCTCCACTAACGATCTGGAATTGCTCCCTTAGTTGCCGGCCACCATTCAGCGCAGCAGCAGCCCTGAGGGACGACAGGATCGCCTCGACATCCATCACCTCAAGCTGTGAAGACTAAAGGCCCAGGCAAACAGGAGCAGGAGGACAGGAAGCTGTGTGCTGGCCCGAATCCCAAGTGGCACTGAGGTAAGACCTCCCCCACGCTAACTTATATTGAACCTAACCCCTCCCACACACACTACCCAAGTCACTCCCTTGCATCTATCCCCACACTCCTACATGTGCCCTTGTCCGCTTAGCTGCGCTATCTCCCCAGGGTCTGTGCAAGCATGTTATTAAATTTGCTTGCGCTGCGCAGAACAAATTCAGGGACTTTTTCTAATGCCAGAGCTCTTCAGCAGGGCTCTGGGCATTGAACCAGCATGCTCACTTTGAGAGGGGGCATGTTGTCATTAGTGATGACAAAACACATACTCTTTGGCCCCGCCCCCTTCTTAGGGGGCCGCTCTGATTGAAAAATGCCCGGGCCTAATTTTTTTCCCAGTCCGGCCCTGCTCGGTGAGCTAGGTCTGGTGCCCAGACCCTGTGAGCCAGTTCACGTACCATCTATGGGATAAATTGGCAAATTATGTAATGGTTAGATACTAACCTTGATAGTGGTTATACCCAGGAACTTGAACCTATATATATATATGTGTGTAGAAAGGCCATTAGGCCTGAATTTGTGGGAGGAGTAAGTCCCCTACTTAAACACCCAGCCCCTACTCACCTCTGATGTTCGAGTTCAAGTGTTCCTTGTTCTACTTCCGGTTCGCGAGTCTTCGCGTTTGCGTCATTTCCGGTCCGGGCGTCTCGTGTATCAGCTGCACGGAGGATTCGGCAGAACCCTCACTGCTACCGGCGGTCCGGCAGAACCCTCACTGCTACCGGCGGTCCGGCAGAACCCTCACTGCTACCGGCGGTCCGGCAGAACCCTCACTGCTACCGGCGGTCCGGCAGAACCCTCACTGCTACCGGCGGTCTGGCAGAACACTCACTGCTACCGGCGGTCCTGGCAGAACACTCCGTGCTACCGGCGGTCCTGCTTCCTAATCGTGAGTCCTCTCATTCCGGTCTCCTCCACATCGCTCTGTGGTTCAGCAGGGGGCCGGAACACTAATGTCAGGGAAATCTTACCGGGGACCAACCACTCTCGCCTCACGCCAGCTTCTAGTCGGCCTCTTTCATACACCCGTCTGGGGGGTCCTACACCCCTCCCCTCATCCCTTCACGGTCTTAAAATCAGTTTAAAATGTTAATTGATGCTAGGGGTATATATTTAATTCCAAACTCATGCTGTTATAAGAGGCTAAGCTTTTTATTGTATGGGAAAAAGAAGGCTTGCCAGTTTTTCCATATTATGTATGATATAGGTATTACATAAACGTTCATTCATACTTTTCCATATATTTTGTGTATCAGTTCACAGACCTAGTTTATTGAGCTGACATCGCCACCTAGTGGTTTTTTATGGTACTTACTGTTTTATTCTGTATAATATGCAGCTTCCCTGCAATTAAATTACTATTTACACAATGTTATACCATGCCTTAAAACATGCAAATTAATCTCAGCCCTGATAAAAAAAAAATAAAAAAAAAATAATAATCTCTTTGATCTCCACAGATCGCACTTTGCCATATATTACGGCTACATTGCAATTAAAAACCAGGGTTCTTATCCTTAAATCCAGGTTTTCCATTCTACGATAGCACCAACCGTTTCGCTCATTCTATATTTCAAAACCCTGACTCTTGTCCTTTAATCCAGGTATAGTATTTATTTTACTTTATTTTCTGTTTGATGAAACTCAGGCAGCCAACAATTTACATTTGTCAACTCACTCTGCGCTCATACGTTACGCCCACTCAGATTTACATCTGTCTCAAACCCTTAGGTTCTACTACGATTGCATCAACAACTTGCCCCATCTAAATTCGGAGAAAACCTTGCTATTTGTACCTTATCCAGGTATAGTTTTTTCTTTAATCTTCAGTACGTTACTTCAGTTTCCCAAGAAAAGGCCGCAGACAGCCTTCACGGTCCATTTTGCCACTCATTTACCCGTCCATGCCCCCCATTAACTCATATTGCCACGCTCATCCGCCACGCTCACTTAGATATACATCTGCCTCAAACCCCTTAGGCTTCTGCTACGACATCACCAGCCACTGGACCTCTCTCTCTTACACTTGAAGAAACAAGTCCACGGGTATAATCTCTATCAAGGTTAGTATCCTACCAGCACATAAAACGCCAATTTATCCCATAGTTGTTACGTGAACTGGCTCACAGGGTCTGAACGTCAGACCTAGCTCACCGAGGCATTTACAAACCATCTCCCAAACCTCAACACGGAGGTATGGCCCTACGCCCAAATCATAGTTAATCGCCTCATTCGCTCTTCTAAAGGGCCGTAGTCAGGGCCTCACTCGTCACGGCCACACGTTTGAACCTTTTAAAAGTCACAGAGAGGCCAACATCCCGCCATCACATCTGTGGCAACATAATCCACTTCGCCTAAATCATAGATAGAGCCTCTCACCGCCACTTGGCATTAGCAGGGCCTCAACAGTCACTAGTCAAGTTAAGTTTTTCGCTTTGGCATTAATCCTACAGCCCAGTTCACATAAGCAATTTCCCCCCCCCACCCCATGAAATAGTGTCTCAGACGCCCCTACTAAACCCAACTCATTTAATTCATTTCTAGAATGTCGCAAGACACATCTCCCATGGACGAAGTACCTGATGAGGATATAATATCAACTCCTATCAGACCAGAGTCCCCAGGAGTATCTCTCGCCCGTTCTACCCCTACGTCTTTGAGAGCATGGACTATACCTAAAATCACGGCCGAACTTAGGCTCAGGAGCATCCCCTTTCTGGCTACGGCCCGAAAGGCGAAATTATACAGACTGTTGACCAACCAAGCCCCAGAGCCTAGGCCAGGCACAAGCTCTCAAAGTCAAGCTTCTGGCGCTGGCATTGCCACCCAGGACACCCTTGCCACAATCCTGGCCAACCTGCAGACCTTAAACAGCAGGTTAAGCAAGGTGGAAAGTGCCATAGCCTCCCCAGGTAACCTTCCTGTTTCAATAGCCCCAATCCCGGCTGTACCTATGGCACCAACACCCGTCCCTACACTTCCCCCTCCAGCTCCTGCTCCAGTCATGTCACCTTTCGTGTCACCAGCTCACTCCGTCCCAGACTCCATTAGGAAGGAAATCCTAGATGGGAAGGATGTGTGTCTGGTGTCATAACTTATTGCCTCCCAAGACGTACTGGAGAACAGGGCTTATTTTGGCGATATCTCGGTGGTTCTTAAAACCAGAGACCCAAGGCTCAACAAAAAGTTGTCAATTCCCAATTTCGTGTTGGCCTTCGGGATATACCGGGATGTCATCTGCTCGGTATATCCCCACAGGAGAGAGGAACTGGACCTCTATCTCCATAAAGTGGTGGATTTGGGCGTTAAGTACGGGGGCTCATCGTTTTACGATCATAAATCAATATCAGCGAAAGCGGCGACCCATCTGAAACAGTTTAATGCAAGAATTAACTGGTGTCAGATGGATACAGAACTATTCTGTCGCCACTTTGCTGGTCTGAGGCCCCCGTCTTGCGCCATATGCAATTCCTCAACCCACTTGGCTGATTAGTGCCCTTCTATGGCTGACCCATCCACCCCCACCCCTCAATCCTCTTCCACTCCTCACCCTAAACAGGAAGGCGGACAGAGGGATAAGCTAGGGAGGCCCATCTCCTTTTTGGGGAAGGCGCAGGTGTGCAACAACTTCAATGCAGGTTCCTGCAGCTTCAGCGCTTGTAGATTGTTGCACATCTGCTCCATCTGTTTCAGGGCACACACTAAGACCATGTGTCCTGCCAGGTTGTCCCCTAACAAATGACTAACCGACGTTAATATCGACAACCTGGCCTTTTACCTTAACCCCTTAAGGACACATGACATGTGTGACATGTCATGATTCCCTTTTATTCCAGAAGTTAGGTCCTTAAGGGGTTAAAGATCACCCAAGTAAACATCTGGTGGAGTATCTAATAACAGGGTTTACCCAGGATTTTCACACGGGTCTCGTGACTATCCCCTCAGGGATACTGGAATGCCCTAATCTCCTATCAGCCTGTCTAGACCCGGAGGCCACGGACGTTCTCCTCTCCACAGAAATAACTCAAGGGTTCATGATCGGCCCCTTCACCTCCTCACCGTTTTCCTCCTGGCGCACTAACCCTAGCTGTACACAAATATTCAAATAAAAAACGTATGATTATTGATTTATCGGTACCGCACTCCTCTTTTGTTCCTAGCATAACGCACTCATCCCCGCAGACGAATTCTCACTACAATACGTTAAAAATAGACGACGCCATATTATCCATCATATCAACTGGCAGCAACGCTCGGCTTAGCAAAACAGACATTACCAACGCTTTCAAACTACTGCCCATACACCCATCACTTTGGCACTTGCACGGTGTTAAATGGCGAAACAGGTACTATTTTTCCACCCGCCTCACTTTCAGTTCCAGAAGCAGCCCCAAACTCTTTGATATTTTCGCGGAAACGCTATGCTGGCTGCTTCTGAACATTATTAGGTGTCACGCCGTCATTCACTACTTGGATGACTTCCTCATCATAGAACCTAGCACACGCACACTCACCAATATCCTCAGCACCTCTGCACTTTTCTCCCTTTGTCTCCCGCTAAAACAATTGGCCCCACCACTAAACTCACTTTCTTGGGCATAGAGCTAGACTCTGCTACCTTCCGCGCCAGCCTTCCCACTGAAAAACTCATCCGCCTGAGAGGGGAAATAGACATGTTCCTATGGAGCGATGTATGCACTAGGAAAGAACTTAAGTCATTATTGGGGTCCCTGAATTTCGCAATGCGCATCGTTCCGCAGGGCAGATCTTTTGTGTCCAGGCTCCTTTGTCTGCTTCACGGGTTACCGGACGCCTGCCCAATTGCGTTGGACCAGCACGCCAAAGCTGACCTAATCATGTGGGGGCAGTTTTTGTCCCTATGGAACGGTATCTCCATGTTTATTCCCCCCCTCTCAGACTCCTCTCCCTGCATTTACACTGACGCTGCAGCCAACACGGATTTTGCAGCTATATTTGGTAATCACTGGTTTAGGGGTCACTGGCCAGCTGAGACGGATGCCTTGCCGGGGTTTAGAGAAACTTCAGCTCTATTTGAGATTTACCCCACTGTGGCAGCCGCACACACTTGGGGTCACCTCTGGTCCGGCAAGGCAGTAAAGTGTTATTCCGACAGCTCATCAGCTTGCGATATCATCAACAAAGGGCGCTCATCCTCTCTTACCATTATGCGGCTGATTCGCAAGCTGACCTGGTTGGCAGCAACCGTCCAGTTCCACCTAATTTGCCTTCACATCCCGGGAATTCACAACACGGCTGCTGACGCTCTGTCTCGATTTCAATTTCAGGTGTTTTTCCAGGCACTCCCGTCAGCCCATCACCAACCACCCAGAACACCGAATTTTCACGAGCTAATCTTGGATTAAATACACTTATGCACCACGCTAGGACACTTACGCACCAAGCACTATCACCAAACACTACTATCACCTACAGTAGGGCACTCACCATTTTCAACAAATTTACTGCCGAATTCGGATTACAAGGTGATTTCTCAACCCAAACTATGGTGGCTTTTGCCTCTTTTTGCCATTTACATTTAAAACTTTCCCACAACACCATTAAATTATACCTCACGGGGCTGCAGCACCACAGCCTCACTAATTTCCCTAACAACACCCCCTTTTTATCATCATACCCTATAAAGAAAATCTTAAAGGGAATCTCTAAAGTATCGGTTCCACCTATCACCACCAGACTACCTATAGATGGACCTATCTTTAGATTACTGAGCAACCTCCTCGATGAATCCCCTTTTGATCCCAACACTAACCTGGTGATCAAATCTGCAATCTATTTGGCTTTTTATGGGTTCCTAAGACCTAGGGAATTTACTGTCGTTTGTCAAGGGGATACCACTCACAGCCTCAAAATCTCACAACTCACAAAAATAGACTACTACTACATTCTCACAATACCTTCTACCAAAACAAATCAGTCCCTACACCTCCCTATCATTCCTCTCTTTCCTACAGACAATGCTTGGTGTCCAGTTAAGACACTAGACATATTACGGTCAGCTTATAGCACACACCTACCAGACTCACCACTATTACAACTACAAGGGCACCCACTCACTACAGCAAAATTCACCACACACGTTAGAACCTTACTGGAAAAATTGGGTTACAACCCAACTTCATTCTCCGGGCATTCCTTTCATATAGGAGCAGCTTCATCAGCTTCTAGTACTAACACACCGGTCCACATCATGAAGAGACTGGGCCGCTGGAAGTCCTCTATATACAATACGTATATTCCACGGCCAGAAAGAGAACTTCGCCAAGCCTTCAGGAATTTAGTTATGTAATCAAATGCAATAAAGTGTGTTTTTTCGAACTTCTCTTTGCCCTCTTTTATTTACAGGCCCACTCGGACGTTGGTTTCGGCACACCACAACCAACTTTTATCTCGGACATTATCCATTACACATTAAATTCCGAGCACAAGTAGAAAGGCCATTAGGCCTGAATTTGTGGGAGGAGTAAGTCCCCTACTTAAACACCCAGCCCCTACTCACCTCTGACGTTCAAGTTCAAGTGTTCCCCACCCACCAGCACCCTTAGAACATACAATTCTCCTTGGTGGGCCCTCTTTTATTTACAGGCCCACTCGGACGTTGGTTTCGGCACACCACAACCAACTTTTATCTCGGACATTATCCATTACACATTAAATTCCGAGCACAATTTATATATTTATGTAAGGGGCAAATAGCCGTATATGGAGTAAGGTTCCAGCATAAACGTAGGATAGTATAAAGGAAGCAAGTCGGTTGTGGGGTGCCGAGACCGACGATACGGTAGGCCTGTAAATAAAGAGGGCTCACCAAGGAGTAAGAAAGTAAAGTAAATGGAAAGAAAAGAGAAAGTGTTGAAATGAGGAGTGGGTGGGAGGGTCATTCTGATGCTGACCTCAAGCGATATGGAGTCAGGTAAGGGGTGTCCCTTATATAGGGGAGTTAATTAATTTAAGCCACTCCCACAAATACAGGCCACAAGGGCTTAATACTTGTGTAAGGGGCAAATATCCGTTTATGGAGTAAGGTTCCAGCATAAGCGTAGGATAGTATAAGGGAGCAAGTCGGTTGTGGTGTGCCGAGACTGATGATACGGTAGGCCTGTAAATAAAGAGGGCAAAAATTAATAATCAAAGATTTAATACAGTCAACAAATATATACAAATTAACCAGACATTTCCTTAAATGCATTACGGTATTTAATTCCTGGAAGGATTTTGAAGGTAGGAATCTAGGACCGCAACTGGACACCATGATGAGTGGCGTTTGTTGACATGTGCTTAGTTGTCTGAGTAACAACGGATTGATGACCCTGACCATGATTTACCACATGCCACAGCAGCTGCTACAATGGGGTAGATACCCCAAAAGGGGCTGAGGTGGTGGAAAAAATTCCAAACCTGGATGCCATGGCCAACAGCTCCAAAGCAATCGTTCCCGGTAGATCGCTGCCAAACCCGTGTGTCAGGCCGTATCTGTTCTGGCGTTTCCGGTATGTGGAGCCGGCCCAGGCCCTTTATGACGTGGCTCTCTTACGCTATATAGAGAGACTGCGCCAGATTCAAACCGCTTGGTGATTCTCTGACCTACTTCCGCATTCAAACGCCAGCTAAGCTCTTCGTTCACAAAGTTACCAAATCTTTGACTATTATAAAAGATTTTGCCTTCTCTGTACCTCTGACCACGGATTGTATTGGAGTCTCCTGAAAACCGGACTGTGTATATCATTCATCTCTTGGATTCAAGCTATACATTCCCATGGAGGACAACTCCCATCAATCTTAAGTATACTAATTACCCTAATCTCTGAAGACTTACTTACTAATGAACTGTTTCTTGCTTGCTATAATCTTCAGTTACTTCCTAATGCATTGTTACTTGCATGCTATAATCCTCAGTTACTAAAATATTATTGCATTCATTAAGACTTCGCTTTCTTCACTAACTGCCTGCATCCACCACTTTGCTTTAAAGCTACAGTACCCTTAATAATTCTCTGCTTTCTTGCTATTGTAATTAAGGAGTTCTACAAGCTGCAGTCCAATTCTAAAACCCCTTGTAGCATAACACCATGGTAGACAATCCTGGAAGGAACATGCTTTTACCATGCCATGTGGTTAAGAAATTCCCCCCCATGTGCAGGTCTGCTGTGGCGTCTAGGGACATCCTCTGATTGTCATGTTGGAGGTGTGGAAAAAAGGGGAAAGGACTCTGGGTGTAAAAGCGTGGTCTTGTGGTATGATTTGCATGGCAAAATTAAGGTACCTGGTAGGGATTGTAGTTCCTTGCGGTTGTAAGTACTAAGCAGGAGGTAGTGATGATGTAGTTGAGAATGTTCCCTATTTGTCTTGTGGTAACTTGCATGTATGGATGCCGACTCAAGTTGTATGCCCAGTAATGTGATGATAGTGTCTGGGCCTTCTGTTTCTCATGGGGTACTGGGACGCCCAAGTGGTCAACCAGACTAAGCTGCCGTGAGGCTTCTAGTGAAAAATATGTTGTCTTTGATCAACAAGAAGTCTTCTAGATAGTGTATGACTGTAAAGCCTCTGGATATGTTATCATAACCAGCACAGAGTATCTGCAAATATCGATAGTAGGCTAATCTGTAGCCCGAAAGTTGAGCGGGGAAAGGATTGCCCATTTTATGCCATGTAAGTGCCAGTGTGTAGTGTAGATTGTAACCGTTTACTGCGTTGATGATATTGGTCTTACTTAACCAAGCTTCAACCCATGCTTGAGTGATAGCTGTAAAGGTAGATCAATGGTGTTGTATAGTAAGGAAACTCCTCGGAGGGTATAAGGGAGTTGAGACTTGGGCTAGCGAAGGTGTGTGGTGCCAATAAGTCTATGGTTAGTCTTTGTTTAAGGGAAGATTCCCTTGTGACAATACCAATGTGTTGGTGTTTGGAGCCATGCTGTAAATGGTGGAGATTGGAAAACCCAAGTAAAAACCTCTCTGCAAATCTTGGCTATGAGTGTGTTTACAGCCTATGGTTCTGTTGTGCTGACTGTAAGTGAGGGCATGCTATATTCCTTGAAGGTGTGTTTATGATACCTGTATGGGAGCCCTTTGAAGCTCCAGAGCTTTAGTAAATCTACTACAAGTCTGGAAGGTGATGAGTCAGTAGTGTTGAAAATGCATTGGTGTGTACAGATGGTGAGTACCTTTTTTGTAAGTTGTATTGGGACACATGGTCATGTGCCCTGAACCATTTGAACATATATGCAACAGTCTACATGCAATGCAACTACTCATACCAATTGTCTCTGGTAGTTCAGAGGTGCTGGTACCAGGAGCCTGAGAGTGCTCGTCTGTTTGTTTGGGACAAAATCCCTTCTCTATGGGTACCTGCACAAATAAACATCTCTACATATTCCAAATGCCAACACAACTAAGGGATGGTCAGTTCCAGTTTACCTGGAATCCCTGGATCTGACCATCACAGATACCATCACAGATACATCACACATATATATGCCTTGTTTCCCCAATGTGCTGGGATCATATGTGCAGGGTTAACGTCTTGTGTGTCATAAGAATTGATTGTACCAGGTAACCGAGTTTCGGTTGGTGCTGGTTGTACAGTAGCGTGAGGCCCAGCCTTGTAAGGGCTGTGGTGACCGACTCGAGATTGCCAGTCTGTCGTAAATTTTTGGGCTCATGAGTGAGGCTAGCATGGCCTGGGTGTCACCTGAGTTGGTGTTGCTGGACCCCTGCCTCCCTGTTGTCCGTTGATGTATGGAGGAGTTTGAATAACTCTGCTTTCCTTGCTGTGGCAGGGTAGGGGATTTGTCGCCTCCTTAGGTCGGTGGTAATGTGTGGGAATGTCCAGGATCTGATTGCTGCTGGACTAGCAACATCTCCTCTGCTTGAAGGTGTTTCAATTCTAGCCTGGGTGCTAGGAAGAGGTGATTCTTCACCATCTTTTTGAGAAATACTTAAATAACAATAAAGATTGCAATTATTATTTGTACCCAGGGGTCTTGTACTGGCTTGCTAGCTAAGCCACGAGGCGAAACGATTAGGCTTGATGTTTTTTGGTGACTGGTGAGGCCCTGCTAGTTGTCAAGTGGCTTGAGAGGCTCTATCTATGCTTGGCGCGAGGGGATTTTGTGTGGCCACCGAACGTTGTGGCAGGATGTTGGCCTCTCGGTGACAGTAACCAGAAAATAGGAAGGGGAGTGACAGGTGATACAATGCGAGGCGGCTAGCTCACGAGTGGCCCGAGGGGTGTATG